AAAAGTAAAGCAATCAAAAGTATGAGGTGTTCTATTAAGCAACTTAGCTCAACTTCAAGTCTCCTTGTCAGTTTTCACAGGCGATAAAGGGGTTTCTAAACCTAATTTTGAATTCGGTAGTGGTAAAGTCAGCGTCTTGGAAGTTACAATTTTAGCAGTGGGCTAAACAAACAGCGTTATTTTAATTGCATGCAAACCTCTTTTTCACTCTAAACATAGTCGATCATGTCAGTGTCATCGAATGTTAAATTCGTCCTGATCAGGGGCTTTTCTCCCACTCCTACAATGGTATTCCATGGTTAAACATGTCCCTTTGACCATAGTCATACATGGCTGTCACTGGCTATGTTATTCCATGTTTGGATTTAGCCTTGAACATGGTTGATCATGTTATATCACGGTGTCTTTTTCACCTTAAAAATCTTCAACCATGTTATAGTAGTGTTTCCATGATCATACACGGTTCACAAATTAAAGTCTCTACGTTGGTAATTTTGTTCATGGTCGACCATGGTCAAATTTGTGCCATTGAACGTATATGGTTGACAATGGTTTGGTTTACCATGGTCAAGCCGTAGTTTTCCGATTGCTGGATCATTTTAAACCATGGCAACTGACCATGATCATCAATGATAAAACAATGGCTGACCATATATAGTCTGACTATGGTCCTGACGCTGAGGAATTGGGCTCTCCAATAGATCGAGGTTAGCCTCCCACGCAGACGTTTCTAGGGGAGTCTTTACTCCCCCCTTCCCCAGAAACCGCCACTTGCTTACCCGAATCCAGCATTTCTTTCCGCGCTTAGCCAGTCATATTGTACCTACCAAAGTCTGGTAGGTTGACATTGACCGCAGTTGACCGCATGAGGATGTCCGCGCAAATCGAGCCGGAACGATGTAAACAGAATATATTGGACACGAAATTTAATATAGTGAAAATTTAAAGACAGGGCCAACTGGTCACCAGACACTGTTCAACAAATGAGAAGGCGCGCTGGTGTTTATCAAAACATCGACCCAGTGATCAGAACTTTTTCACAATGGCGGACGGAGGCGGACAGATTTTAACATAAGCTTTCAGTACTCGTGTAGGTTTCACACTATTGCAAAGAAAACACTGGATGTAAAAGAATACGAGTATCATTTATTGCAAGGAATCGTTGGGGTGTTCGAATATTCTAGACTGATCACAAAGGTCGTGGCTTCACTGGCTTGCAAGATTTTCATCAGTGTTCAATGAAAACGAAATACATCATTTACAGTTGACATTTGCCTTCTTTCTTTGCCTTTTTTTATACTGTAGATGAACATTTGGAGAGTCCAACAGTGATAAATCTTTCCAATGAACATTTGGAGAATCCAACAGTAATAAATCTTTCCAGATTTGGTGAGTTTCAGAAACAAGGCAGTTAGTATCTACCTTACGCTTCAGATCCTTTAATTTTATCCCCGCAAATTCGCCTGCGTGAAACCCGGGAGTGGAACTCGTATTTTGGACCTGGGAATTCAAAAATTGTCTACCAAAATTCTAGGTTGTTTACCATCCCCATATTCAACATGATAAAAGTTAATCGATATGGTAATCAAAGAAAAATATCTAGGACTTCGTCAAAAATCTGTGAATCCAGAAAATAATAGATACTTGTTCACCTGCCTTGAAAACCGACCAAAATCCCGCCTACATCACGTTCTTTAAAAGAAGAAATAAGACACAAAATGTGCTGAATATTTCATGCGGCACTTCCAATATGGCTTCCGCTTCCGATAAGTCTTCGAAATATGCCTGAAAGCCTCGAAACGGTGACTCTGGTCGTTTAGGTAATCAAACCACCATTTTCGTCGAGAAAAATAGCTCAATGACGTCACAACTGTCCTTAAATTAAGGGATATTTCGGTTAGTCTTAGTTATTTGCAAGAAGTTTCTAGATGTGTAATTTTCAGAGATTTCTTCGCCGCTGAAGTTCTTTGTTGTTGCATGGATTGTGATGTTTTCACCTCTGATCTCAACACCTTTATCCGCAATTTGCCGATTTACTCTTTGATGTACAAATTAATGAACGCCAAATATCTTCTCTTTGATTCCCTCTAAATTCTCCTTGCTTTTTCTAAACGCAAGAGCCTTTTTGTGCCATTTAGCGTGCAAGTAAACAAGTCGGATCCAGAGTTCTGATGTTGCTGAAATTTAAACCGACTGCCGGCTCGATCAAGTGAGGAAGATCAACTCCGGGTTTTCCCGAAAATCTAACTCTCCCCGCAGGCGACTGATTTAAAGCGTCGCACAAAAAGTACTAGTATTTATTTGAAATAATTGCTATTTCTAACCTCACAGCGCCCGCATTATTTTCTTGAGTTACAGTTGTGGACTTAGTATCCTAGCTTTTGAGTGACAGTGAAGTTGAGGTTGACCTGGTTAGTCTCGCTTGCGTAAGCAGCGAGACTCATAATCTGCAACGCGTTTTTTGCTCCCCCCTCCCCCGGGGGGTACTCCCTTATATAGGCTATACGGGTATGTCCGGCGCCAAAGGGTATGGTTTTTTAGCCGTTTTGGTCTGAAATAGGGTATCAATTTCCACCAATTTGGTCTGAAATAAGGTATTTATTTGTGTACTCTACTCTTGAACTGCGTATGTTTTTTTAGAAGAAGCTACTTCTTCTACATTTGGCGATAAGACCATTTTCCTTTTAATGTTTACGCCAACCGTGTACGTGTCGTAACAGCTTGTTACGCGCTCCGGTCACGCGACGGGCTCTAGGTCTTCAGGTCTGAAATAGGGTATCAAATTTTTGATCAGGTCTGAAATAGGGTAGGGAAATTCACGGATTTTGGTCTGAAATACAGTAATGGTTTCAGGAAGCGTGAAACACACCCCCACCCAGTTTTCCTGGAAGTACCCCCGCGGGGTTTTTCGTCGTATTTTATACACAAATGGGGGGTAATTATGCCAGGCGTTCCTTGTGGAGACCGTGGAAACTAGAACTAAGAATCGTTGCGCGATCGAGGCCACGCATGAAAGATTACTTTAGAGCTTTTCCGAAACGTGTCGGTCCACGAATTCTATCGCTTCAAAGCGTTGATTACTTTGGAATAAGTGAACACTGCTGAGTAGTTGAAAAAGAAAAAGAAAAAAGGAATCTGAATTAGCAAAACTGCGATTGTCTGGTGTTGTAAACGTTCATTGTATGCATTGTATGTTGTGACGAGAATGGGGTTTACTTTCGTCGATGATTGAAATTACGTGCCTCGTAAATCCCTTTTTTGATCTCTGGCAATTAGGTAATTTCTCTGGAATCGAAGCCCTTTAATCTTCGTGTATATATACACGCGTATAGCCTGCGACCGCAGATGTATTTCCGGTCGTCGCTAAAACACGTATTAAATCAATTCAGAAACAAGTAAAAAGTGTCGATGTCGATAAAGTAAGAAGTAAAAAACTTTAAGCGAGTAAATCCTGTTTCGTGAGGAAATAATATCCTCCTCATTTCTCGATCTAATCTCCCAGCAAGCGAGACTGTCAACGACTTTAAGCACGTTCTTGTTCTGATACGAACCTCCTTCCTTTTCTAATGAGAATTATGTTTGAAGGATACTAGTTAGAGTCAAAGAACAACATGATTTACATAATAAATCAGGAAGGGTTGTATCAAAAGAAGTTCAACTCCAGCCTCGTTTTCACAAGTAACTGTAAAATGGGCTATTCGCGGGAAATTGTAAAATAATACACCCCACTGCTGATTGGTCACATTACCATGGGGGTAAAATAATGAGAAAGGAATGCTGGTCTTGGGTAAGCAGGAGTTTGTGGGAGGGAGGAAATACGACTCCTCTAATAACGTTTGCGTGGGAGGCTAGAACGAGGTCAGCTCATAAATAAAATAAACTGCGTATTATAATTCCTCGTGAAAGCGAGGTTAATAAATCTGTCGAAATTTGCATTGCGCGTTGCTCCTACGAGAATCGTAAGCAAAGAACTATGTCGGCCGTTAAGCGCGAGAGTAAATTAACACCGAAATAATGCAAAATGGCATTGAAATGCTCGTTTAAGCTTATTTTTCTCAAAGTTGTCTTTGAATGCGTGATAAATACAGCTCTACAAGCTTCAAACAGCGTGTATGGCAGAGAAAAATGCTCAAAGTGTAACAACTTGACCGGATCAATTATTCAATGGCAGCGTGGCCCAGTGATATCGGTTTTCTTTGAACATTTTTCTCTGTTTAGTTTTAGATTTTTTTATCACATTTTTTCCCTTTCGCTTCTTTCCCTTTATCCTCGCTGCTGACCGTTTTTAGCTTCGCGAGGTTTTTTTCGATAACGTATTTCTAGTAGGACAAAATAAGACATATAGAGGGAGATCATATGGCACCATCAAATTATTTAAAATAACAACAGAACATTACAACTCTCACCTTTAGTGATTGATATTTTAGCAACCTTGATGGGATTTCCTTTTAAAACGACCTATAGTATTTGTGGTCAACAAAAAGTTACATTTATAATTATATACATTAGAATAATTATATACATTCATAAATATAAATATGTTCTGTTGGCTGTAACACATTCAGATACTTAACAATTATTCTACGACTGTCCTTTTGATATGAGTTGGCTATAATCATCTCATATCCAACAAGCGCGTGTGGAGTAATTGTTTTATTAAAAACGCCCACAAAATATCGAGAATTCTTCCCGACTTCATTTGTAAAAACAACCGATTTTCAGCTTGTTTTAATTTTGAGTAGACGCGTACAGTTACCATAATTGGAGGGCAGGGTTTTATGGTCCATATACCATGATGGCTAAGCCAATGAAAACGCTAGAATTGGAGAGAATTGGAGAGCAGGGTTTTATGGCTCATATACCATGATGGCTAAGCCAATGAGAACGCTAGAATTGATTTATCTAATGACTCACTTTTTTTTAAAAAAAAATGCTTTACATGGTGTTAGACCCCAGCATGTTGTTGGCAAAATGGCAATAGTCTTTGACTCGACTTTCAGCTAAACTAGATTTACCTTTTCGGTTCTGCCTTTAGTCAAAGCTCTCTGAAAGACAATATAATCCTCCCCTTGTTGTAAGGCGGCATTTTTGTAAGCTCCATAGTTTTTCTCATCACCAACTATGAATGTCCAGGTTTTCTCGTGCACTGGATCGTTACTTATCTCAGCAGAAACGTAAAAGTCGATGTTGTATTGCGAATCACCCTCTGAATTTTTTAGCTTAGAATCAAAATCGGGTGGAAGGTTCTTGTTGCAATCAGCCACCTTCAGAACTACAACCTGATAAGCACTGGAAAAATGAAAAAAATAAAATAAAATAAACAATAATAAAGGGCTTTCAGACCTCGGTCAGAAGTTTTGCTGGATAATATCAGTAGTGTTTTTAGTGAGTTTGTTACTTGGAAGGGGTGAAATTTTCGCTTGGTGAATATTTTGAGGTCTTCTGGTGCCCACACAATTTTGGTACAATATGAAGTGTGACTTCGGAGTGACCATTGATTCAAAGAGCGAAAACAGATCGGATCAAACTATCAGATGGTTATTAGTGTCAATTGCAGGAATGCTGATCAAACTTATTTATTTAGGGATCCATTGCGTTAGGTTAAGAGTATTAGAAGACGGAGGAATGATTCAACCAGCTTTTCAGTGAAATATAATTTTAGTCTTATCTTTATCTTTGGTTATTTATTCATTCATTAATTTACTCATTTTCCTCTTTTCCTTTTTTGCACTCCAGTAATGAATCTGTTATTTACAGGGTTCATAAAAAAAAAACAAAAAAAACTGCAGCCATTTTTCGAGGAGTTTTCAAGGACCACATTAGATTTTCAAGGACCATCTACTAGGAATAGAATTTCACAGATTGTAAAATAAAAAAAATCAAATTCCCAGTTTATTCTAATAAGGCTTTAACCGTTTGCTTCACCAACTTCTCTGCATTTTTCAGTCAGTCACCTGCATTAACCTGATAGTTAATTATTGCATAAGACCATAGTTAATAGAGGGAATGGTTATGAAACCCGACAAAGTTCTTTGTTGTATGGTTTTGTTCTCTTTTTTGGCCTTGACCCTGCACAAAACACAATAGTTGTTTACTCCGTACTGAGGAACTAACCAATAGAAACGTGCTGGTTACGTAATTCATGCATAACGTATGAACGTAAAACAAAAGATTGTGCAGGGTCGTGGACCTTCTAACATAAATCTTGGCATCTTTGTTTGCTCCTTTGATGTTTGCCGGGCTTCATAACCAGTCACCTCCATTAACTATGATAAGACATAAGGCACTTTATGTAAATAACCTTTAAATTTTCTGAACTATGATTTGTATTAAAGTCTTAGACAACCAAAAAGCAGCAAAAAATACTTTCCAGGCCTCTAAATTCAAAGCTGAAGAAAATTCAAGGACTTTTCAATGACTTGCATAGAAATTTAAGGACTTTTCATGGACTTCCTTAAACTTCAAGGACTTTTCAATACTTTGCGAACCCTGATTAACAAAGTTTGTAAAGTTTGTTCAGTATCGTAGTGGGAAATAGGCCGTTTTTGTTCTCTAACGACCTGATTTCCAAAATCTCTTACTTTCTTGTGCGGCCCTCGCGCTTGGTTAATAACGCATTTTTACAATAACTGAATCATTTCTCGCACGCTGATTGGCTAATTTTTATGATCGATGAGAGGAGAGGCACATTAAATTTTAATGAATGCAGGACGCTACCATTTGCCGAATTAATGCTAAGCTTCGATGTTTTTCTTTAGTTTAGTTTTTTTTCGTAGAAGATTCACGTTCTGTCTACCACGAAAAATAGCCAGATAGCTCTGATGCCAGACTTACATCCTGTTTGAATTCTCTACAAAAAGCTCAAGCATAGAAAACTGAACAAAATCACTTAGTTTCCAAAGCGGAGACCACTTCCAAGATATTATACAGGTTCACAACTGTGATTCAGATAAGCTTTAAATATTCATATCACAAACAATTATGAAAGTCTAGTGTATTCAAAATAAAGACATCAACTACAGCAGTTTTCTTTTGACGAGAACTGAGTATTTTCTGATCCTTTTTTTCGAAAGCAAAACCAACTTTTTATACAAACTTGTCGAACTTTGTAAGTACCTGGAAAGTTAAACTCAAGACTACATAAGTATAAAGCCCTCCTTTCGGTTTGATTGCACACAGCTCATACAGCTGAATGGCCTTCAGGACGAAAAAACAAGCCTTGAACTGAAATAAGCAATAGGTACACGATATATGTTCGTCCTGTTCGGTTAGCAAGTTTTTAAAACTGCCTGGCTAGTTGCTCTAAAGACAGCTCAACCATACATCGCTTCGACTTGTTCGGTTATTTAAACGGCTCCAAAATCTTTCCTTAGAATACTTTTTAACCTTGGGTTAGTCTACGACTTTATACTAGCCCAAAATGGCTCCACTTTCGAGAAAATAAACATCGCTGATCTCATTCTTGTTCTGAAGTTTGGAAAACAATAAATTCCTAATGTCATGCAGGGCAGAAGACAGACATATCTAAATGTTACGGGCAGGAGTTAAAATTAGTGCAAAACTTCGCCCTCCGCCTATTAGCAGATACTAAGAAGTTTAGTCACATCTCGCCTGTTCTTCGGGAATTAGGGCGGCCCTCCATCAAAGATCAGCTATTAGTCCGTGATACTACCCAAGTATACAAACTTTTTAATAGCCTTGCTCTGTTGTACTTGAGTAGTAAACTGAGTAAGCGATCAGATGCACACTACTACAATACAAGGAAAAGGAACAATCTAAATCTCCCTCCATGCAGAACAGTTACTGCGCAACGGTCATTTTACTATCGCGCTGTAAGTGCCTGGAACTCCCTGACCGCAGACACTAGAAATAGCCCGTCACTATGAGGGAGCAGACCCCATACGGTAAATGGTTAATATTTGATTTAGGTTAGATCTCCAAAGAGATAACGTAATTGTACGTGCATAGTTTAGGCTTTTAGTTTTGTACCAAGATTTCAATCAATTTAAGCTTTTTCTCCTTACCCCCTTCTTTTTTAGCATTTATAAATTAACTTCAGAATAGCCCTTTGGGAGAGTTAATAAAAATTATTGTATTGTATTGGCAGTGAGGTGTCTCAACCTGTCAAATTTTTAGCCAATGAAACTCAGTTACTTGTCTTCAGTAGCCAATCACCAAGCGAGGAAAGTTATTGACAATAACATTATGCTAGTTTAAAAACGTCATTTTTCGAGCTTTTGTTACTGTAAAACAAATTGACGCCAGGTTTTATATATGTCTGTCCTCTTATTAATGATAAAATGACGTCATATAATTATTAAAGTTTTATGGATCTACGAGCCACTTAAGCGAGCCGCTGGCCAAATTGTGTTGCACATTTCGACCGTGGAAAGATCCCTTTGAGTAACAAGAAGTATATGTAAATATATGTTGGAACGCTGGCATTCTCATTTCAGCATTAATTAACTTAGCGTGTGTGACAAGCGACACAACATTTACGTTTAATAAAATTTTTCCACAAACTTCACCTTCTTTCAAACAAATATTTTTGCAAAAGCCCAAACCCAGTAAAGTTAAAAGAAGATCACGAAAAAAAAAAACGTAGGTACTAGCCCGGTCAAGCTTTTTACACACAAACCTTTCGCCTTCCTCTCCTTTTTGCCGTCTTGTCGCGTAAACGTACTACTATGATCGAAAATCTATTAATGAGGGAGCAAGGCTTGGATCATACCTTATGGGGCCATTTCTTTGTTCTGCAGGCCATAACTGGATAACAGCACTTGACTTTGAGGCCCTTATATCAGTTATCTCTCCAACGTATGGTGCAAGGGGAGCTATAGAAATAAAATTTTAAAAAAAGTCAAAAAGGAGATGAATAGATAGAGGAACTAAGCCGAGTTAACTTTGGCAAAGACTTCTGGGACTCTTACTAAGGACAGGGAAAAAATGGTCAATGGCTGATTACCGCGTCCATTAACGATCCCAGAGGCAAGTGCGGGGCGCATTTCGGCGCCAGTTCCCTCCTCGTTACTAAAGTGGCCAATGGTGAAAAAGAAAACAAGGAGCATAGCCTGTGTACTGACCCCTCCCCCCCCCTTCCTTCAGGAAAAATCGAGAGGAGAGGGAGGGGGTCTAGACACAGGCTACAATGAGCACAGATCTGAAGAAACCAAAACACAAGTGCCTTAACGTTTGAAAATAGCATTTTTATGCGAAACGAGCTCCAAACTGCTGAATCAAGAACTGAATAAAAACGGCCTTAAAAGTGAATTACATGACAATCTAATGAACGAAGTTCATAGTACGATCTACGAAACTCTTGCGGTAATCTAACATTGCCCAAGGCACGCAACAATAGACCTTTTTACCGATACGGCGGCCATATTGTATTAATTCGATTTAAGAAGTATTATAGGATGCCCAGGGAGCATGAGCGCATTTCGTTTGTATTTGCGAGCGCTTTTCGGGACATTCTTCGTACAGTTTTCTTAGAATAAGATTGTAATGGGAAAAAAAGATCCTTGTGCCGTGTTTGGATGTAATAATGATCGCCTTTATCCCGAGAACTATACTGTGAAAGACTATATTTCTAATACTAAACTAGAAAAAGGCGATCATTATTACATCCAAACACAGCACAAGGATCTTTTCCCATTACAATCTTATTCTAAGAAAACTTTAAGAAAAAATGTTCCGAAAAGCGCCCGAAAATACAAACGAAATGTGTTCATGCCCCCTGGGCATTCTATAATGCTCCTTAAATCGAATTAATTAAATATCGCCGCCGTATCGATAAAAAGGTCTATTGTCTAAAGCGTAGCTTTAGCTATAGCGGGGCTCAATTATGGAATTCCCTATCATAATATGTTAGAAACATAAAGTCCACAGGGCAATTCGAAAGGGAAATTAACCGAGTGTTTCAATCATTGGTTTGCCACTGGGCAATCTTGTAAAACTGAGTAAATGAAGTGTAAACAGTATTTTTTTTTTATCTAAAATATTAATTCGTAACTTTGTATATTACTGAAGATTTTACTGTTTTCAAATAAAGCTGTATGTATATTTATGTGTACACCTATTTCAATTAAGGTGGCTCGTCTGGATTTTTGAGGGGGGATACCTCACAAGTTTGAGCTCTAACTACGTCGGCATGAGTAAAGATATGGGAAAAAGGTTACCACAACTGTATTATATAAAGTTGAAAAATTCTGATGATCTGCATTTTATTGCAATCGGAGTCGCCATGGCAACGTAACGACGCCATTACGTCGTCCTCATTATTCACTGTTATTGTTTTCAAGTTTCATATGCGCGTGCACATTTAGCAAAAAGAAATAAATTTGCATAAAAAAACTCTCGATCACTTTCCGAAGAAATAGTCGGAATATGCTAATAATTAGCTTGTCACAGATAGCAGTGAGAGCCGAAGCAGTGAACGTCGCGGCTCATCGTGTAGGATGCAATACTTAATTATCTTACTCGGGTTATAACATCACAGAAACTCTTTCTTTACCTGGTTATTAGCATATTCCGGAGATTTAACCGAGGGTCCTTTTTGATGCAAATTGTATCTTTTGCTAAATGTGCACGTGCATATGAAACTTAAAAACAATGCTAGAGAATAATGAGGACGCTCACTTGTAAACACAAAATCTGGGGGAAAATTGGTTATATTTGAGGCCCTATTTAAAAGCTCTCTCTGCTTTCAGTGTTCTTGAAACTTACAGGGTATATTTATTGCCGATTAATCGCGGGACTATGAAATTTATAAAAATATTTATGTAGCGGTTTTTTTGAAAAATGCAAAATTTGTAGGCATGGACCAGATTACGTGCAAAAACTGTAACAAAAGCAGCTGAATGCAAGTTAATAAAATTCTCCTTACTCGCGATCGCCCAGAGCATTTCCCCTCTTTTTTTGTGCGCAAGGTATTTATTGTAGTTCAACAAACGCCTTGAATTTGAATTTTTTTTGACTCCGTCCAAAATTCCCACTCATTGAAAATTTGCAGCATTTACATATTACCAGAAAAAGGTTTTAAATTTAAGTTAGCTGGCGCTGCTTTTGCTTACCGGACATTTTCGTGGTTGCGTCAACAACAGTGGGTTGGCCTTCCACACAGACGGATTCACCACGAACGTTAAACTTATACAGGGTGCCAGGTACCAAATTCTCCACCAAGTAATTTCTCGCCTCTTGTGCGTGTTGTTCACCAATATCCAAAAAGGATGTGTTGTAATCCTTTGTCCCATGTATTTAACCTTAATTAAAAACACCCCTTAACATTAAGCGAGGCAACAAACTCGGAAATTGCGCAAAGTAACTGTAGTGCCGGTCGTTATTGGTACATTTGGTACAACAGTGGTTAGTTGCGATTGGCGTCACCAGTCGTATAAAACCATTACAGCGAGCGTGCCCACTGGGAATGGCCAGAAAAAAAAAAAAATTCTTAGACACCTGGGACTCGTTTCTCGAGACGCCTGGAAAATTTTCGGGCCAGAAGACAAATTTTAAAGTCAAACCTTGCTGTATATTAGCAGAGTTCTTAGCTCACAAACCAGTCAATTTTGCTTCTTTAACTGATAGTTTTTATTGTATCATTTTCAGAATTATTGGAACCTTGATCTTGAATACAAACACGACAAACAGGGGACTTAAGAGAAACAGGTCCCTGGGGCCACGGCCGGTGGAATGATGTCCGCAAAGGGGGACTCCAGCAAACCATCCAGGTGAGTGTTATGAAGATAATGATAATGATAATGGTTGATAATGATAATAATAATAATAATAATAATAATGGAAATAATAATGGTCATGGTAATCAGCAAAGGAGGACTGCAGAAAACCATCCATCTGAGTGTAATGAAGATAGTAATAATGATACTGATAATAAACAGAAATGCAATCAGGCTCTAAGGATATTTTACGATTATAAAGTTAAGAGAGATCGTCAGCTATATTGCCTAATGTCTTACGTTCGACCTATAGTTAGTGTCCTCTATGCACCTCTCACCTTATATCTGACGCCCCCCACTGGGAAATTTGTTGGTGGTGTCCATTCCAGCCTCACCTTCGTTTCTTCAATCATGGCGACTGACACTCTAGGTGCGGCTGGCCCTTGAGAGAAAACATATCGGTAATAAATCCAGGCAAATTACATAATTATGGTTGAAATCGATAGACGTGCCCAGCATGAAAGCAACCTTCCTACCCGAGAGAGAGTTATGGGACAGAGAGGGAAACTTAAGGGGTTGGCCAGGAGGATGAATTTAGGTTTCTGTGCAACTGACCAGCTACCCCTCCCCTAAGCGAGCATTAACACTTACTTCTCACTTAGGGCAAAATGTTGGCTAAGGGGAGGGGCAGGTGTGCAGTTTCCCAGAAACCTAAACAATTGATCCGGCCGGGATATGTGAATTTCACTTACTAATAAGTTATTTTTAGAGGCTGTAATTAAATAGAGGTGTAATTCCTGGGACGTCCGCACATTTTTAATCGAT